GCAGAAAGAATAATTGTTCTTCTGTTTTTGATGATACCAACTGTTGGTTGTTGTAAGTGGTACCTTCGAAAAAGATTCAATCGTCAGGTACTCAGGACATATTGTTACTTACTACTTACGCCTGTTACTACTCGTGAAGGAGCATAGGCCGCTCACCAGCATTCTCCATCCAACCCTGTCCTGGTCGATCCTTTCTAGCTCCGTCCAGTTGTAATTCATCGTTTTCATATCGGCTTCTATTATCCCAAGCAATGTGTTCTTTGGCCTTCCTCTTTTTCGCTTCCCTTCAGGATTCCAAGTTAGGGCTTGCCTCGTGATGCAGTTTGACGATTTGCGTAATGTATGTCCTATCCATTTCCATCGTCTTTTCGTAGAATTATTTTTTCTGGTAAGCGTTTTTTTAGCGAGTTAGTTTTCTACGGGATGGGGACGCTAACCCCATGCCCAACCCTCCTCCTTTACCCGGGCTTGGGACCGGCAGTAACCGTATAAGAGCTACAGGCGGAGTTAGGACATATTGAGTTAAGTTGAAATGAAGTCTGTTGTGGTATGTTCAAACGAAAATAAATGAAAATACTCAAAATCCCTACTAAGTTTGATATGAGATATGTTGTGAATAAACAGTCATTTGAAGGGTGTGCGCACATCAGCATCTCTCATTTATTATTTTTCCTTCAACTGATATGTCTGATTGTCTTGTTTCATGGTCTTTCTTTCTTAAAAATAAGTCTACATTTTTAGATTGACATGGAAAAAGGGCACAAAAACTTCTACTTTTTGTGAAATATGAAATATCTTAGTGGCGTTTTGGCCGCAGTGGTTGACATCTTCTAGCTCCCAACTTCTGATCTGAATATCTGAATGCTTAAAATAGTTGGTAGTAATTGAATAAGGGCGTTTGATGAATCAAATCATTATCAAATGAAGGAGATATTTAACCACAAATACAATTAAACGGGTAATCAAGCACTTTGAATTCTTTGAGTCAATCTACATTTCAATAAACAGATCGATTTCTCATTGATATTTTAATGTGAACACTAGACGGAATTTTTACGTTGTCCGTTGTAGTACAAGTACTTGGCGAATCGATTACATGCCAAGTCTTACGAACAATCAAAGTCACATTAGATTTAATTTCTAATTAAAAGATAATAATTCGATCATTACCAATCAAGAAAAACACATAATTACGTAACAAGTTAGCATTAAATTTGGATAAGGTTGTGTACCGTTTTATAAAAACGATCCCTTTTCTATTGTTCTCTAAATAATCAAGGATAGAATTATTCTCGTATTATATTGAGAGTTTTTCTCTAATGAACGAGAATACACAAGGTGGGGGGAGGCTACCATATGTATTGAATATGAATATCTTGTTAAAGTCTGTAAATCGTACAATGAATAAATCATTTGTAAAATGTCAATCAACGGTCTCATATTTTGTTGTTTCTTCGCTTCCATATCAATCATTCACTGTTCTCATTTTCTTCACTTCAATTTTCTTAATCTTCTGCTGCCAGGTATTTCACTTTCGAATGATGATACGTACTACTTATACCGATATCGACATCAGTAGTACACATCACATTTTAATTAATATGAAGCGCGGGCTAATCAAGATTTTCTCTAAAGGTGTACAAATTTAAAAGTTTTTTCATCTATTATATTGTCTTTTGTTATGTATTAACAGGCATTTCCTGTAGTTCTAGTGAGAAGCCATGACTAGTGGAGTTCAACCAGGTCTGTTGTAAGATATCAGCTCACTGAGGACAATGGTGTATGGTGACACAATTTTGTGTATTGGTTGAAGTTAGACATTAACACCGTTGGTTGCCGGCTCAGTAGTCTAATGTTTAAGCGCCCGCGTGTGAGACTGATAGGTTATGGGTTCGAATCTCACGGGGGGCGGGATCGTGAGTGCGCACTGCCACTGAGGAGTTTCATACTAGGACGAAATGGCCTTCCAGTGCTTCCAGATTTTCCATGGTGGTCTAACTTCAATTGAATCATGATTTCAACTAATGCTTTCTATTAAATAATGAATTCCAGTTTAAATTTCTAAATAAAACTAAGAAATTGATTTAAAAAAAAGAAAACTGACGGGAAATAGGGGAAATTTTAATGCTTAAACTTACAACAACAACAAAAATATTTTACTTAAAAATTTTCAATTAGAGAAAAAAAATGTTTTTAGAAAAAAAGATTTTCTCTTGATGAAAAACTTTTTCTATGGAACAAAAAAGAAGAAAAAAAAGAAAGAAAAAACTATTGATCTCAATCTGTTCTCACATAAAACGTATTTCATTATTATCGCTGATAGTTAAGATTTTCTTTTTCTTCTTGATCGATTCAATTACACACTATCTATTGAACGATTTAAATTTTCCCTGGGTATTATTTTTCTCTTTAAATAAAGGGGAAAAAAAAAGAATATCCCAAGTGAATGGTTAAGTATAAAAGGTGGTATTTTCCTTTTTATTGTTGCTGTTGTTGTTAATATTACAAAAAGAAAGGGAAGAAAACAAATTAGAGATAAGCTAATTAATTACAATTGTATAAACTATGAATTATATAAAAAGATCATCATTAATGTATATTATTGTTATATCCCGATAAACATAATGAATGGTTACTTATGGGATCCATTTATGAACCATTACTATGAGTATCGTATAATTGTTATGTAACTAAACTATTCATATTCGTGTTTCTCTTATTACAAGCTTTAATTTGATCCATAGATTATTATTATACCACTTACCATTCTTGAATTATGGCTTGTCTATTAATCACTACCTCCCTCATTCACATTCGCTTTTGGCCAAATATTGTACAAATATTATTTTCTATTTTATGGTACGATGTAGTCTGTCTGGTTGGTATATAAATCCAGTATGTTTGAAATAAATGATTCATATTGCAGATGCTGAGATTGCTGTTCTTGTCTCAACTGGCTGGGCTAGACAGGAAACGAGACCGATAAGGACTCTAGACTGCTTGTATTTGTTTTATGCGTCATTGGTTTGATCGATTATTCGCTACTCTCTGATTGGCGATGTCGTTGCGTTATCCAATATACAGGGTACACAGGTTCACAAGTTATAACAATTATCGTTTCATTTGGATGGTTATTAAAATCTACTTCAGTTTACAATGATCATCATATAGATGATAAAAAGTGATTTGAAGTAACCGATAAGAAAGTCTATGTTGATTTATATTTCATACTTGTTGACAATCTTTAGTAAATCATATCTATTATCTTGAAAGGATTGATAGTTTCCTGTAAGATTTTTAAACACATTTTATAACTTCATAATTTTGTGATGTTACTGTAGTGAACAATAACACGAGTGAATACAATCGAATGTTATCGACACAAAATTACACGATTTGTTAATAAAATCTAATAATCCTAATGTAAACGTTTGATTTGCAAAATGTCTCAAAGTGACTGAGATTTTATTGTTCTTGCATTTTCATACAAATTGCATTCGTTTCTTATTCTTTACGGTTCGATCCTCTTGTCTCCCCTGTTACCAGACATTTTGTTCGTGAGTAAAGTCATATACTACTTATGTCGATATAAGTAGCACACATCACACTACAATTAAATCATTTAAACTTTGACTAATTAACTATAAGATTAAGTTATTTTACGATTGTTTGATTACTATGCAATTTTGATGACCTTAATAATGATTAGTTTATAGAGTTATGAAAACAAGACTAGGAAACTAAAAACTACAACAATCTGATAGTAAAGTGATTGAAATTTGTAATCTTACACTTGATATTTCTGTGATAAGTTGATTAGTATAAACTTCTTAAAGTTTCATTCTGTTTCATTTTAAATTTTCAGAGTACTAAAGTAATAACCAACAGAAGTTGATTACCTGATAACGATATGTAAGTGTAGGATGATACGTTTACCTAGACAACCTAGATGCCAGCTCAGTGGTCTAAAGGTTAAGCGTTCGCGCCCGAGATCGTTAGATTCCGGGTTCAAACCTCACGTGGTGGAACTGTGGATATGCCCTACTGATAAGTAACACAATAGGACGAAATAGCCGTTCAGTGTTTCTAGGTTTCCCATGATGGTTTAGCTTCAACTGACTCATGAATTCAGTTATTAAATTTCATTTCTATCAAACTGGGACAACATGAAAATGATACAAATTCATCTTAAGTTTCACATTGATAATGATTACTGACCATAACAGATACTTTGCTATCGTATATATTAATAAAGAAGAAAAACATTTTCATATTTGTTTAGACTTTAAATAATCCTCATAAATTTCCACTAACTTTTCAAGTGAAAGGTATTGGGTTCGCGTTCCATTGTGAACATAAATACTGGGATAAAGGTATATGCATGTGACTAATCTCAAACTAGAAAAAAAACTTTTTGTGAATTCTACTGTTAACCGTTATCTATCTTCATTTATAATTTGTGTTGTGTCTTGTGGATTGCAGATTAGAGCACAGCGAATTATTGATCGGATCAATGACACGTAAAACCGTACGATCAGCCTAGTGTTCTGATTGGCCCTGGTCCCCTGTCTAGCACAGCCAATTGAGTTCAGAACGCTAGTCTAAGCCTCTAAGATATGAATCGTTATATTACAAACATACTCTGTTTATATACCAATCAACCAGACCACATCGTACCATAAAATAGAAAATAACATTTGTACAATATTTAACAAGTGAAATAAACATTGACCAATAGGGAATGTCCATTTAAAGTCCAAGTACACCATTAGACTTAACGGGATAATTATTGGGATATTATTCTGAATATCCCAACACTTTGATATAATCTAGATACTCTTTCAATATAAATCGTGGATAAAATCATTTTTTTTGTTCTATTTTACATTATCTCTCATTTAAATTACATTTTAACAGTATTCATTACCTGTCTTTACACATTAAATAACATAATTTGGTATATTTCTCAATTTTCCATATCTATTTTTGTTTCATTACAGGTGGATTAGAATATGAATTATATAGTACACAATCACCAACTGGATTTAAACCACCTACAAATACATCATCTATCATTACTAAACCAACATTTAATACTAAACAAACATCTGTATCTATAACATCTCCATTAATTCAACGATTGAATAAACCTACTCCTGTTGATCCTCCAGTTCTTCATCAACATCATCAACATCATCACCATCATCATGATACTTCTTTATTAAAAACATCACTTTCATTACCTCCATTAGCTCAACCATGTAATGTAAATGTAACAGAAAGCATGAATCGATCATTGGTTACAAATCATTTACAACAAATGAATTTATCAAAATTGAAAACGGTAAAAAAAAATAATCAATATTTATAAACAATATTATTTTTATTATTTATTTGTTTGAGAAATGATTGTTTCATCTTTCCTTGTTTTTGTAAACTGTTGAATTTGATTTAAATTATGACAAACCATTGGAGACCAGTAAGCATTGAAGGTTAAACTTTAGGCATCAGAACTAAAAAGTCAATATCATATCCTCTGTGGACTGGGAATGCCCACTAACGATGTTTATTTCTTGTTTGTTTGGATCTATATATATATGGTAGTTATTATGATTATTGTAAATAGTTTAGTTTACTGAAGATGCCATTAATGTTTAGCATATTGATCTTCAAGAATAATACCGAGATCTATGTTCAAAGTAATAATTGATTTATGAAGTCATTACATCAACTGTTTACAGATTGAATGGAATGAATGTTTGAAAATTATAAATGAAAGATAATATATTATTTCTCAAACAAGAGTAGATGATTGAATTCTGTTCAATAGGTTGGGATGTCTCTGTTTTTCGGGTTAAGGATTTGAACGGATCAGTCAGTTCGATATCTTTGTATTCTGAACGAATTGTCTTGATATTAATACCATTTACAAGCATTTTGTTTGTTAAACATAGTTACACTGATAACTTACAGATCTTGACATTAACAGGGGCAAGTCTCAATTTGTCTTCATTATACAACCCATCGCCTAACTAAAATCAATAACTAAATAAATAACGTGTAAGTGTTTTAAGTGAAGGACATTGAGTTAGAATCTCGGTGTGAACATCAAGAATGGGACACAAATATTTTCAACTCAATAATTTCACATAGGTCAATACATTCGTCTTGGAAGTGAAGTAAATACTGAAGAAAATTGACGAAAGCAATGAATGAGATTGTTCATTTACGTATATATACATTACACATAATTGGATACGGTTTACAATGTTTAGATCTTAAAGATTCTTTTAAAAAAAATTAACTAGCAACCGAAATGTAGCTTTACTAACTTTCGATAATGTAGTTGACAGATTAACCTCAGTGAAGATTATCTATATATTTTCAAGAAGCCAGTTGTCATTGTGTTTTTTTTTGACCCCATGACAATTCGAATTTTCGATTATTATCATATTTCATTTCAACATATATGTCATATTAATCTGTTGTGAACTTAAGTTAGGCTAATTATCACGTGATGTATCCGCCAATCGAAATACGACCTATTCAACCTTAGTAATGTACCAAACCAATGACGTTTAACCCATATGAACAGTCTGGCATCTTTATTGGTCCTATTTTCGCTTAGTACGTCCAGTTGAGTCCAGAATACCAATAACAGCTTTCACTATGCGAATCGTTTATTTCAAACAGACTTGGTTTATGTACCAACCAAACAAATCACATCATACCATAAAATAGGAAATAACATTTATATAAGATCAAGCCAGAAAGTGGCTGTGAACGTGGGAGATTGTAATCAATAATCTAAACATAACTTGAGAACAGTAAATCGTATAATAATAATTTATAAGTCAAAATGAAGCTTATAATAAGAGGAATATAGATATACATAATCTACTAACTGAATAGTTATACAATATGAATACATATAGAATATGGGTTCATTAATAGATCTGAGAAGTTACTCGTAATTTAATCTTCACTAAGATATAACACAGTCATTTTAAAATACTTTAGTCTATAATGTGTAGGGTTGTATTCACTGATAATTTTGAAATCGTCTGGCATAGACAATATGCAATTAAGGTACATAGTCAGAATCCGATTAAATCTCTTTATTTTACTTCCATTAATAATTAATATGTAATATCTTTGAATGTAAGTTAGATTCTTTTGAAAACAAATACGGAACAACATCATGTTTTCTTTAAATTTACAAAAACCTTATAAAACCACGTAACTCAATAGATTTTATATGATGTGTAATTATGGTGTGAGTTACTTATATCCTCATAAGTAGTATATGACGGTGGTCAGGCATAAAATGTATTTCAGTAGTAGATTGATAAGGAAAGTGTTATGACCTTGATCTGTCTACTCTAGATCAAGACCTTGACGCAATAGGCTGACCGGTTAACCTTTAGGCTAGTACGCTTGAGTTCAAGGCGGGATAGAGAGAAGAAAACTATTCTATCACCTGATCGACTGATAAGCACAGTAATGAGAGAAGACAAGACAACTCGACACTATTCACTCTATTCCGATATACTGACTTCCTGTGAATTCTCTGAATTCAGAATAGTGCAAAAAGGTACATGAATAAATAGGTGATTTACCCGACCACAATGTACAATAATTTGGAAAAATACAATTATGTCCAAAACTGGGAATTAGTGTAGAAAATAAGGTGCAAAATATTATGTTTAAATGACACTAGCTTTGGAACAAAAAGGGGTATGGTAATGAATGATACATCGAACGAAATCTCATGTTCTGTAGCATAAAATAGAGACAAAAATAAATGTCAGTTTTCAACAAGCTTTGAATAAAATGAAATAACTTCCCAAGAAAAAAACTTTTATAGTTTGTCCGGGCTTCTTGTTTCCCTATTCACATCAGAAAGAACGGGAATGGAACGCAGTTAGTATGAAAGTGCATAAACAATAAAATCTGAGACAATAAACTGATATTTGCAAAAAGAACAGTCAAGATTGAAACGATGGATTGATATTTTGCAAATTAACTGTTTACAATGTGGTTCTCAGATTTTAGTGAGATCCTCTGTAATTTCGTGTTCAAATACATTCAGTTGTGCCCACTGATGTTCTTATTCACTACTATACGCAGGTGGGACACAACCAATGTATTTATTACAAAATTACAGATTATCTTAGGAAAACATTTTATATGATTCTTTCAGTTCACAATCCTTTCTTTTAGAAATTTCCTTTCTATTCTCTTCAATTCGATTTTCATAGCCCCCTGCTGCCAGGTTTTCCACGTTCGATCGGTATAATATACTACTTATGTTGACAGACATAAGTAGCATACATCACAGATTTAGTTTAAATTTCGATTTCAGTGATACATTAGTATGCTGGAAAAAACACAATGTAATTGATATAGCAGAAAAGCCAGCTTAATAGAATGATTTCATTTAAAAGCATCTAATCTAAATGAAATTCGACCATTACTCTGGTGGCTAATGTGCTAATGTGATGTGGCAACTCGAGCTGATGTACGTACGTACGAAGTTCTACGTTGTTACTGACTGACTGACTGACTGGTGGCTTTAATACTGTTTATTAAAATTATTCTGTGATGAGTGGTTGCCACTTAATTTTACTAACCATTCTAAATAGAAACGAGAATAAATGCAAATCGAAGAACATATCAAATGTAAAGATTGTGTTAGCGTATAGATTGAGATTGTTTAGAATTCAAAAACCAGAAAGCACATTGAGGGACTTTTTTGTATATCTGAAACCACGTCAGCGATTAAAACTCAAGGGATCCAGGGTTTATCGTGACCACTTTAAACTTTGATCATTTTAGCACATATCTTACTAACCATTTATTGCAAATATTGCGTCCATTTTTACTACAATCGTGACAGCATTCAACTGTCACTCATTCCATTGAAACCATGTTAGATTATCATTGAAAACCTGGAAGCACAGAACGGTCGTTTCATAATATTATAGGACTCCTCAGTAGTGTATTTTTTTTCTGGTTAGCGTTTTTTTAGCGAGTTAGTTTTCTATGGGATGAGGACGCTAACCCCATATCAACCCTCCCCTTTTATCGGGGCTTGGGACTGGCAGTAGCCCCCGGAGGGTTTCCATAGTTCCGTACACATTTACTAAAATTACTTTCTTAAATCAGCGTTTGTTTTCTATACACCTTTTTTTTCAATTGTTTATATTATTAGATAAAATTGTAAAATTTTTTAACCAAGAAAATATCAAATCAATTTTTCTACGGTTACTATAAACGCTTAGAAAACAAAAAACAAATACGCAGCTCTTATCAGTTATCTCGTTTTGGGATATAATAATAATAATAATAATAATAATAATAATAACAGTTTTTTTTCTTTCTTCGACTTTTTCTTTCTTTTTTTTCTTTTCTTTCTTCTTCTTCTTCTTTTTCTTCTTCTTCTTCTGTTTTAATCATTATTCACAGTTTACCAATTGACCATAATCATTTTATTTAACTTAGTCAAGTATAAAAAGAATTTTTACTGGATTTCAGTTATTATTAGAAAGAAAAAGAAAGTTTAACTATATATATATATATTATTGTTATTGTTATTCGCCCTATTATTCCTCTAATCACTTTAGTTTTGATAGTCCATAAATAATGACCTAATTACCTGATGAGGTCAATGAGTTGAAAACGATGCCAGAGTTTGAATTGGTAGTAGTAGTAGTAGTAGTAGACAATGATTAAGGAGAAAGAGAGAGGATTAGGTTAAGAGAGGAAAATGAAACGATTGAAAGTTTCTCGTTATTATTATCATTATTAGTATTAGTATTTCGTTGGTTGGTTGATTAACATAGTCACCGTTATAATAATAATAATAATAATAATAATAATAATAATAATAATAATAATAATAATAATAATAATGAAAACCGTAGGAAACAATGAAAACTATTTCACTAGGTCAGAAAACCTTTGAGAATGAGAAATTTAATTTATTTTATTCAATGCATTTATATATATATATCACAGTTTTGGGTTTGATTTAGTTTAAGGATAAAAAATAGAATAGTATACAAGATATGAATCATAATATCTCTATATACAGAGTTATACGTATATATATATTACTGATAATTGAAACTAATTTATAATGTAGTGTGTGTACTACTTAAATCGACATAAGTAGTAAATGATGTTAGTCACGAATAGAATGTCTGGTAGCGAGGGGAGACAAGAGGATCGAACAGTAAAGAATAGAAACGATTTGTATGAAAATACAAGAACAATGAAGTCTGAGTCATTATCAGATAATTGATGGACATTTTTCAAATTATGATTGATAGATTTTAGTAA